TTTGCCATTCACTGACACAGGATTCCACCTAAACGACTAAAACAAAGCACATTGTAGCCATTCTGTTCTGCTGAGAATAAGCTGGTCGATTGGGGTACAGCTCGTGGCTGGGTGTTCAGCGGCGGGTTGGCGGTGTGAATGAAATGCCTGCTTTGGGCTCCCCGTATCCGCGGCCTTGCTCCTGCAGCCCAAAGATGCTTTTTAATCAATGTCATCAATGACTGAAATGGTTATAAAGACTTAACAGGGATCTTGTAGGAGAGACCGCAAAAAACTCAAAGTAAAAGACTGAAACCAAACGTGGGGATTGTGGCACACAAAGTCCAGGGTGACCTGAACTGTCCTCATGGGGGAACTGGATTTGAAGTCAGCGAACATCTACATTTAACTGGTATTGGTACTGGTACAGGGAGGAGATGTTTACCTTTTTAATCATGTTGCACTGGTCGCTTCTGCTTACATCTACATATGAGCTCAGGCAGAAAATTGTCTTAGCAATTAAAGAAATAAGCAGTTCTTGATAATGTACCTATTGCTCCGCATAGGAGATTTCACTGTCATTGAAGGAAAGGAAGGGGATTTAATTCTCTGGAAAGAATATTAGCGATTTTATAATTGAACATTCCAATCTGTTATGGTGTATCCTGCAGATCCACTTGATTTGCGGAAATGTCATTCTGTGAACAACATTCTGCTTTTTGTTTGTTATATATCCAATTCATCAAAGTGCCAAAACTTATTCAAGAAATGGGCACCACAGACCAGCATAACAAGAGAGCAGCAATATACCCCTGAATAGTAATAAAGCACATTTTCTTGGCAGGTTCTGTCTGTTCATCCATCTTTCTGCCTGTCTATTTAAATACTTAACTCATAATTCAACAAACAGAAATATTTTGGGTATCTACATATGAAACCGGCCAGGAATCTAAAGCACAATTTTATCCAATACTTCATTAAAATACCATATGCATTCAAAAAAATGATAGTTGACATAAGAGAGGTACCAAGACTTTTTTTTTGAGAGCTTAAACATGTCTGCAACAGGTCATATTTGTGATGCATGTTTCTATGGTTATTCAGCTAAGGTCATTCAAGGCAAATGTACAATGTTATAATATAACATTCATAGTAAAAGAAAAAGTCTATCTAGCAATTCTAGTCGGCGTTCCCGAGCTGCAGTAAAATATTGGTCCCGTGAACAGGACTAACTCAGGTGAATGTGAGTTTTGGTTTGTGTCTCTTTTCTGCCTGAAAAGACTGTTTAGAATGAAAAGCAAGTTAATAAGACATAATAAGTGGTTTTTGCTATGGATTCCTACCACTGTAGATTCAAATCAAAGTGAATGCTACATTTTTGGGGGTTCTTCCACAACCATACATCTTGTGGTTTAGTGTTATTATTATTCATTATGTTATAGGTGCCAATGCAAATCTTTCACCCATTGAACAGGTCTGGTTTTCCAGTTTACTAGTTGAAAGGACACCCCACACTTGCCAGTATAACACTCTTGTTGTGAAATATCAGCTGAAAGTCTCAACAAGCCCAATGAGCACAGTGCTCAAATGTTCTCGCATACTAAATATTACTCTCTTGAATGTTTAGGAGACTGCTAAATATTTCTCAGGAACCAGACAGCTTTTCTTTTTAAGTGCTCCTTTTTTTGCATTCTTACGTTAGTGACGAATCAATAGATCGATAGCGGTTTTGGCAGGCTGATTTTCTGAATAGTTTACATGGTGACTATTTGGACTTTCCAGTATGAGCCAAAGTTAAATATAACTCACACCAGTCAAGTGATTTAACCAAAATGTTTTAAGCCTTCATTAATGGGGGGTGGAGGCTTTATACAAGCTTTTTTTTGCATTTATGTTGTGTGTTGTTGAGAATATGCAACTAAGACGACCACAGAAGGATTTGCTTGCAAAGTTCGTGACACCATAGCCGCGGGTGGAGACTGACAGGGGTCAGGACAGAGACAAATTTGGTAAGTCATGTCAGGGTTAGACGGGCATAGGCCAGCTGTGAAATTACACACGGGCTCTCAGTTTAGTACAAGGGCACAGAGACAAGTCCCTCATAGAGATGGAAAGAGACCAGCAGGGGTCCGCTGTGGCAGCCTAGGAGGACTTGCCTTTGTTTGTTCTGCACCTATCGTACACTCAGAATATCTCAATAAGCCTGAGACTAGATAACTAGCTAACATGTAGCTGTACAGAATATGCATAGCTGCACCTACTCATGTGTGTTATTTAGACTCGAAATTGGCAAAATCCTTCAAACTACATTTTGTCCCGGCTGAAAAAAACATATACGAGCCAGCTTATGCTGGTAGCTTATGTTAGCTGGACTAAGATGGTCTTATATAGTCATGTCCCAGCTCTTGCTGCACTTTGATGGTTTAGTTAGATGGGCCACCAGTTAGTCATGCTGGTGTGGTCAGTCTATCAAGCTGGTCTTGCTGGTATGACCATCTGAACCAGCTAGAATGACCATCATAAGCTGGTATGACCAGCTAAACCATCAAACCATCATGAGAAAACACACCTGAACCTGGTCAGCTGTCATAAGTTGGTCAACTAGGTTAACTAGCTGAATCTGGTGAAGCTGTGTTTTCAGCAGCAGTGCAGAATTAATCCAGGAAAAGTTTAAAAGGGGCAGGAAATGGCAGCACTCCTACAGGAAGAACAAGAAGAGAACCAGCCCACTTTCAGTTCTGCTTCTGTTGTTGTTGTCTATGTTAAAGTAGGAGGGACATTCCAGTATGGAACTACTCATTCATTCCCATAAACCTTAACAATCAAACAGATTCTTGGAGTTTATCGAAACCCATCACTGCCTGATTTAAAAGTATATGAAGTATTGTAACCAGTAATATAATACTTTATTTGAAGTGTACCACTCAGGACTTCCTCTAAAATCAGGTGAATTTACAGTATTCAGATGCCTTTAGGTGTTGAATATTTCACATACGGTATAAAACACGAAGGTTGCAAGGCTAACTGTTAATCACCAATACTTTCTTTCCCTATGCCAGAAAAAAAACAACAGGAAACAAATTCTCTCTGAATTAAGGGCATGCAAATATACCGAAACAATGGAATATTTTAGGAGTAGACGATATTTGATTGTGTTTTAAATGTTGGACATAAAAAGGCATAAATAAAAGTGCTGTTATACGTACGTATTACATTGATGTGACATGACAGTTAGAAAAGTGCTGGTATACGTAGTTATTACATTGATGTGACATGACAGTAAGAAAAGTGCTGGTATACGTAGTTATTACATTGATGTTATATGACAGTAAGAAAAGTGCTGGTATACGTAGTTATTACATTGATGTGACATGACAGTAAGAAAAGTGCTGGTATACGTACTTATTACATTGATGTGATATGACAGTAAGTCAGAGTGTCTCTGGTATAAAATATAAAGAGCTTGAAAGAATCGTTCTTGTGCAAGATTTTATTTCCCATACTCATGTAAATACGAATACTAGATGTTCGATCGTAAGCTTGCATTGTAACAATAGGGCAATTGAAAGACGACAATGGGAAGGGTAGGCCCACACGCAGCCTTCACAGGGCGGGTCAGGACACCGTCATTGTTTTCCATGCATTCCTCACTTCGGGTTTCCCTGTATATTAGTGCACTTCTGCACACTTTTGTTCTGTATCCTCAGACCAGATTCCCTTTCGTACAAGACTTCATCTTCAGTACCGCTTGCATGTATAACCTTTTATTTCGCTTTTTGCCAAGCCGTAATGGCAGCTCTTTGCTACTAAAATGGCATCCACAAATAATTCCAGTAATGTGTATTCCTTGTCTTACATATTTAGGTTCACTGTGCTGTGTTGACTTCCACATTTTGGAGGTAAAGATAGCACTAAATAAATGAATATACTGAAATAATGTATCAAATAATGTCAAACAATTCACATATACCATCTAGTAGAAACTTCATTATTATCATGATCATGTTGCGATTATGTGCCTAAACAAACGTCTTACTCTCTGAGAAACATATATACATGTTTATGTCTGTTTATTGGTTGATTTTAATTTCCAAATGAACAAATCTGAATGAAGATATATTTCAGCCAGCACTACCCGCAGAGCACATCAAAGGGTCTTGCTGATGATGTCAGAAGGAAACTCAAAGTACAGTACTCAGGTCAGATCGCCAGCAAAATCATAACAAGGGGTTTGATGTTGCTCTGAGAAGTTCAACTTCAAGAAGTTAGTTTATTCAATTTATTTATCAGATAGACTCATAGTGGAAATAACTAAGCTCATTTATTATACATTTGTTATATTTCAAGTCAAAAAGTGCTGTTTGTATCCTCTTAAGTAACTTAAGTATTTATTTAGTGTATCCGTTTATTATTTTAGTCATTCATTTATTAATTTATTTGTTCATTCATTCATCCACCCATCCATCCACCTGTCCTCTAATTGCTCGTCCTGGTTAGGGTCGGGGGGGGGGAGGCCTGGAGCCGATCCCAGGTAGCATGGGCCACAAGGCTCAAGCACACCCAGAACAGGATGCTATGATTTCACGGTTGTCAAAATCATTTTCTGTATTACCATGTACAGGCATAAAGCAAGCACAACCAGGGGTCTTTCATCAACAGATTATACATTGGGCCTATTAAGTTGTACCCCCCCACCCTACCCCCCATATCAAACTCTCCCCTGTGTCACTGAACACGAGCATAACAGCAGTACGGCGTACGTTCCTATTCCCATCAATGCATTAATTGTTCAAATAGCTGCGCCAAGAACATTAATGAAATCTTTGACGTGTTCAGCAGAAGTGCGGCTCAGCCGTTTCGAGTACCTCAGCCCTCCCTCTCCCTTTCGCATTCAGTTAATCTATGTATGGGGTGGGGGCTCAGAAGAGGGGAAAATAGCAGTTGTCCCATCTTGGGTGACTGTGATTTAAGTCCTGGCCTTTCAGAAGCTAAACTGGGCACCAGAGGTTTGCTCTAGCCAATGAGAATTGAGCGAGCTGAAAGCAGCCAAACCAATGACCGCGGGGCTGCCTTGTATATAAGCCAAGGTGTGAGACCCCCAAAGCGGGCGACCTTCATTTTGGCTTTGGTGAACAGGATCTGATCCCAAGGGCTGTTACCACTAATCTTGTGCAGGTAAAGTCAGCGTCTTGCATCTACTGGTGTTGTCCAGGAAGCAATAAGAAGTCAATAGTGTGTGCTTGATAATTCTTAAAAGGAAGCGAATATATTGTTTATGACCTCAAGCAAGATTTATTTGGACATTATGATGAAAAGTTTGCGTTGCTTTTCAGTAGTTCGCTCACTGTTTGATTCGTAATACTGAATTATGTGGTGATAATGCTTCCCTAGTTATAAATCTGAACTTTTACTATTCAAATTGAAATTATACCCTGGTGAATATTTGTTTCTTTCATGTATTTATGAGAAGATATTTTCAGATGTATTGTAAATGCTGCCCAGCTGAAGTTGCATGAGGCAGGATCAGGGAGTTTATGCCAAATTCCGTAACAGGTGAAAGATGGAGACAACTGGGGAAATTTCATGCCGGTTCTTAAAATAGGAGAAACAGAAGCGGAATGCAGATGATAAGAGAGGCTGAAGCAGCACATGCAGCGCCTGCACCATCCAGTAGAATGACAGGATGTCTTAGGTAGATGTAACTTTGGCCGACTCAGCAGTTGTAATACATATCCATTGAGTTTGCCCATTCTTTACCAGTATGACCCAGGTTATCTGCTAACGGATTATATGATAAGTCAGTATGAAAACACACACATAAGCTGTGAGTGTCAAGATATGAGGAACTTTTCAAAGGTCTGTAACTTCAACAAAGAACTACCAAATATTATTAAAAACAAATACAGACTAGACAAACGTTTGTAAATAAAGCAATCTTGATCTTGATCTGGTATAATCAAAAACTGTTGTTTATTTAAAAATGATGCATGTGCCATTCGTGGTATGCAAATCCTATAAAAAAAAAACAAAAAATCAAATTTTTTCCTTCATTGTGGTCAGCTTATATAAACATGGCTGCACCGATACAGACAAACGGTGCTGGTCAGAATCAGCAAAGCAGACACAATGGAGAGGAAGCTTGTCAGCTCCATTTGTTTAATAAGGGATTTCACGCGTTTAAGTGTAAGTATGTGCTGAGGGTGGCGGGTGCTGTTAAAAATATCCTCTGCTGCTCAGAGCACAGAATTCCTCCCTCGATCTATTTTTAGTGGAAATACGAGCTGGTTAATGTAGGCCACAGCAAGGAGAGTCACCGATAACAGGCTTCCCTTGTCACATGAGCTTTGGTACTAGCAGCTGTTCGCCGTAATATATTGTATAATATAATCCTTTTCCCTGTCCTGCAACGATATGCATTCCACCATATTGAATTCCATCTTTGCAAGAAGAAATGAATGATTCCATAAATTGCATTTGAAATGACTTTGTTGGTGTCTGTATTTTATACTGCGTGATTCTTCCATTTTGTCAAGTGCCATTTGACATTAGGGTGTCACGGTGGCTCAGTAGGTGGCGCTGTTTCTGTCACCTTCAGGGTTAAGGGTTTTAATCTGGCTCTGCTCTTTGTGTGTGAAGTTTGAATGCCCTCCCTGTCTCGTGGGTTTCCTGAAGACTGCTGTAGTGAAGCAGTGACTGTGTTTCCCATAGTGTGAGTGCAGTGTGATCTGGTGGTTCTGCCTCGTACCCTGTGCTGCCTAGAATAGGCTCCAGGCCCCTGTCACCCTGCCCATGATCGACTGCTGGAAGACGAACAAGTGTAGATGTGACGGCTGCACCTGTTACATTTACCGATTATACGCTTCTGTTTTTCTCTTGTTCGCTGCACTTATGATTGGATTTCTTGGTTGTTTTGTTCACCATAATCTCACGTATCGCTTCTCTTCTCCTACTTATTGCAGACTGCTAGAAACGCAATCATGCCTTTCGGAAACACCCACAACAACTTCAAGTTGAACTTCTCCGTCGACGATGAGTACCCTGACCTTACCAAGCACAACAACCACATGGCGAAGGCCTTGACGAAAGAAATCTATACCAAGCTGCGGGACAAGCAGACTCCCAGCGGTTTCACTCTGGATGACATCATTCAGACCGGAGTGGACAACCCTGGTATTCACAGATAACCAGCCTTTACTGCACTAATATTACCTTTACGCTAATACTACTCCAGACAATTAGCTCTGGAGTATATCACACAAGCCTGTAGTATATTGATAGTAATAATTGTTATTCAGTTGTGACTAAAAGTACGATACCAAACATTTCTGTTTGCTTTTTGAAGGGCACCCCTTCATCATGACCGTCGGCTGTGTTGCTGGGGATGAGGAGTCTTATGAAGTCTTCAAGGACTTGCTTGATCCCATCATCTCCGACCGTCATGGTGGCTATAAGGCCACTGACAAGCACAAGACTGACCTGAACTTTGAGAACCTCAAGGTATGTGACTTATTTCACAATAAACAAGCATTTAGTTTCCAAAGTGTTTTAAATTATCAAGGGGGCTTCCTTTGCAAAATGACTTTTGCAGTTTTTGTGAGTAAAATCATGGTGATTTCCATTGTATATTATGTCTGTTGCTGATCAGGGTGGTGATGACCTTGACCCCAACTACGTTCTGAGCAGTCGCGTGCGCACTGGACGCAGCATCAAGGGGTACACGCTCCCCCCCCACAACAGCCGCGGTGAGCGCAGGGCTGTGGAGAAGATGGCCGTAGAGGGTAAGTACTAGGCAGGTAAAGAGCATCTAGCACCCAAGAGAGATGTTCTAAACCAGACAACTTATAAAAATGCTCTAAAACAGACAGCCTTTAAATAAGGAGATGAACGTTGCTCTTTTCGAAATCATAATTTTGCTCAGTTACTTGTGTAGTGAAATGAAGCTGCTCTTATTTTATCTTAAACAATAAAACGTTTTGTCTACATGACCACGCAGACGGCGTTATATACTGTACATGTCCTCATAGCCGTGGTCTTTCTCTAGCCCTGAACAGCCTGGATGGTGAGTTCAAGGGCAAATACTACCCACTGAAAAACATGACTGATCAGGAACAGGAACAACTGATCGCTGACCACTTCCTGTTTGATAAGCCCGTCTCGCCCCTGCTGCTGGCGTCCGGCATGGCCCGCGACTGGCCTGACGCACGAGGCATCTGGTGAGGATTTCCATTGTGTTAACGCACAGTAAAGTTTTATATTTTGATGACCAAAAACCTGGATCTTTCAAGTCATTTTCAAAGCCTTTTCAAGCACATTGTAATCATTGCGATACTTAATTGATGTTTCATGTTCCTTTTCTGCTGGGCAGTATCTCAGGAATCTAATTAAAATATGTGTGATACATGCTATCACAATTACAAAGTGTTGATTTTTTTTCTTCTTAAAATAAGGCACAATGAGAACAAGACCTTCCTGGTCTGGGTGAATGAGGAGGACCATCTGCGCGTCATCTCCATGCAGTTAGGTGGCAACATGAAGGAGGTCTTCAGGCGATTCTGCGTTGGTCTGCAGAAGGTGAAAATCATTATGTAATGGTGTGGCAGTAGCTCTTTGTTATTTAATTTCATTTGCATTTACTCCTATTTAGCAGAAGCTCTTCTCCAAAGCAATATCCAAGTGAGGCAAATAGCACGTTACAAAGATACGAGGATTCGACTGGGCATTTATGCAAAGTAGCAAACTCTCTGAAAGGTTACAAAAAGTACACATTTAAATGTGTACCTCAGTAAAAAGTTCTACCTCAGTACCATTTTCAAATGTAATACATGTGTATTTCATGAGATCTGGAAGATCTGATTAAATATGTGCTACTTTATTTTAATTCTAAATCTTATTCTGACTACTTACTTTTGAATTTTTTATTCCCTTATTCTCTTAGTTCCTCTCTCTTAATATTTATTAGCCCAAGATCCAGTATTATTTCTTGAGAAACCACACCAGGGCCTTACCAGACAAAAAGGCTTAGAAGGTGTAATGCTCCTGTTTTTGCTTCTTGCTGCTTCTGTCAGATTGAGGATGTCTTCAAGAAGCACAACCACGGCTTCATGTGGAACGAGCACCTGGGCTTCGTGCTGACCTGCCCCTCTAACCTGGGCACCGGGCTGCGCGGCGGCGTCCACGTCAAGCTGCCCAAGCTGAGCACACATGCTAAGTTTGAGGAGATCCTCACCAGGCTGCGCCTGCAGAAGCGTGGCACAGGTACGCTGGTCCGACTCACGGCACGCTGCCCATAAACAGGCAGCTATTTCTGATTCTGACCCATGACGGTTGTTATAAACACACAATTGTCATTTTGAAAGTTGGGATGTGTCAAATTGGAAAATGCCTGGAAACCACAGTGTTTGTATCATCGAATTATTATTCCTGCTTTTGCTGACTTGTCGCTCTACGCGGATTCCCGCCAGGCGGCGTAGACACTGCCTCCGTGGGCGGCGTCTTCGACATCTCCAACGCTGACCGTCTGGGCTCCTCTGAAGTCGAGCAGGTCCAGCTGGTGGTTGATGGTGTGAAGCTGATGATTGAGATGGAAAAGAAGCTGGAGAAGGGAGAGGCCATCGATGGCATGATTCCTGCACAGAAGTGAAGAGGGAATTAGACTTTTTATACTGTCGGAGTGACTAAGCATGCTGACAATGTCATCTTCCGAGGGACTCAGATCTTCCCTCGTTTCTCCTGCTTTTCTGTTTCTTTTCTTTTTTCTTTCACAGTGTTTTTACACGATTCCTGTACAGTTGGTAACATCCTGGGATCAAGACCAGACACACCTGTTTCATTTCAATTGGAAAATTTCTGAAATATAACTTGTAATTAAATAAATGGCCCCATTAAAATATATATTCTTGTACTCAGTTTTCTTAAGGGCAGTTTGAGTTGCATGGAAGTGTGTGAAGCTAAAATGATCAATTCATATTTATTCAAGTATCTGAAGAAACTGAAAACTAATGTGTCAAAATGAGCTGAATATCTGCACTACATATTCTGCATTGAATATTTAGTTTAAAGAGAAATGTCAACATTTACAGCTTGCGCACAAACTTTTTAACTTGTGTTTTATTCAACATTACAATTAAATTAGTTAAAACGATTCAATAGCATATAGTACATGCTCTAGCTTGGCAACATAGCATATAGTACATGCTGTAGCTTAGCAACATAGCATGTAGTACATGCTGTAGCTTAGCAACATGGGCATGTAGTACATGCTCTAGCTTGGCAACATAGCATGTAGAACATGCTGTAGCTTAGCAACATAGCATGTAGTACATGCTGTAGCTTGGCAATATAGCATGTAGTACATGCTGTAGCTTAGCAACATAGCATATAGTACATGCTGTAGCTTGGCAACATAGCATATAGTACATGCTGTAGCTTAGCAACATAACATGTAGTACATGCTGTAGCTTGGCAATATAGCATATAGTACATGCTGTTGTTTAACTTCAGATGTTTTAACTTGCAGGTTTTTAACACACACACAGTCCACGAATTTGTATCTTTGTGGGGACTCTCCATTCATTTCTATGGGAAAAAACCTAATCCCAGCAATGATGACCTTAACCCCCACCCAGCCCTAACCTTAACCATAAGTAACCAAACTAAATATGAGACTTTTGGCTATTTTAGTTTTTTGATTGTATTCATGGATTTTTACATAATTGAGTGTCATCTTGTGGGACCAAAAATATTGTCCCCACAATGTCAAAATAAAAGACTTTTATCACAATGTGGGGCATTTATGGGGACAATGTAATATATACATAACCCCCCCCACCACCACACACACACACACACTAAGATACAGAAATATATAAAAATAGTCTTAAAGTACTGGTTTCATATTCTGCGTCTTAGTAAGGTTTTTTATTATACAGTTTAATACCTTGATCCAATTTTTCCAAGACATTTCCATCACATTTATTTTATTTATCAGGCACTTTCATCCAAAGTGACATACAAGTGAGGCAAATGGCACATTGCAGACATCCAAGCTGTCGAGGAGTCGACTGGGCATTAGTGCGGCTCGGCTGAGCTCCCAGGTGTGAGCAGGACTGGAGCAGGAGCTACTCAACAGCTTCTAACAAAGCAGGAACCTAAGAAGATGGTTCATAAGCCTATTTGGAATCTTGTTTCTATACTTTTTTCTTGTAGATGTTTATATACAGTATATATATATATTTAAGCTGTACACAGCAGTCCTCCTGTACCTGCGCTTTCATAGCCACATTTTCAGTTCTCTGCAGTTCACCGCGGTGAAAAAAAACAATGGAAAATTCCATAAATAAATGATTCTTGAATATCTAACCACGCACCAAGCGAGTCAGGCTGTACCATAGTGAGATTCACTCACCCGGCTGCCATCGCAGGTTACGTACAGGTACATGGTATCCACTCACCCGGCCGCCATCGCAGGTTACGTACAGGTACATGGTATCCACTCACCCGGCCGCCATCGCAGGTTACGTACAGGTACATGGTATCCACTCACCCGGCCGCCATCGCAGGTTACGTACAGGTACATGGCACAGTGTTTTTCAGTGTGAAATGTGTAACAGTAGCCTTTGTTTTTTCCTCGTTCCTTTGTCTTTTGAGGAGTATAGAAAGCATGACTTTCATCGTTCTACCATCCCTTGAAACCTTAAGTTTTTTCATTGCTCTATCATCTCTTGAGAATTAGGCTAAAATGTCAGAATCCCATTCATTACAGTACTGTACAGTACTGTATTATAATGTACAATGTACTTTATTATTCATGTATTTAATGTTGGTAATGTCTTACTGTGCATAATTTCTCAATTAAACTTTACTAAATGTGTTATAAATATTCAAAGATCATGTTAAATATGAGGGATTGTTTGCCAATATCCCCAGTAGGTCTTGAAATGGGGAGACTACTGCATGTCGCTTGTATTTAATAAGATACACACACTATGCTCTGATAAAATGCCTGAATGGATATGCAACTCCAGAACGTTTGGCTGAAGACAAAGTGGACAGTTAAGGACATGGTATCCTGCAATGTTACTGCCATGCATTTGCAAAATAATGTCAGCAGAACATTGCAAGGATCATTAGGATACTTTGAAAAACTTTGGTCTTATATTTACTGACATAATCTAGCATGGAACTGAGGGCGACATTTTGGTATATTTTACATTTAACATGCTTAATAGCCTTTTGTTCCACGCATCTTCTGTATAAAGCTTGCAATTTTTATACAAAACAACTGAAAAAATGTCAACAATAAGACTATTTTAAAATGTATGGACAGGGTGTGTGCAGGGTGTACCCCACTGTGGGGGTTGGGCTGCCTGGAACAGCCCCCCCTGTCACCATGATCAAAATAAGCGGCTGGAAGAGATTTGGATGGAGGTTTGGACAGACATTAATATTTTACAATAAAGCTTAGTAAGGGAATATGGTAGGTTTCTCTTTGGAGCCCAGCAAACAAAGAGGATTTCAGTCCTAAAAGCAAGACCACTGAGAATAAGTACTGCTAGTACAAATACAAATTCTGAGATTATATTTACCCCTAATCTTGATACTTCTTCTGTGGTCCATCTTTTGTTAATTAACTTGGATTTCAGCCATGCAACGGGACTGTCTTTCAGTGTGCAGGAAGTCTTCTGGCAAAGGCAGCTGAATGCCAGGAAGAGGAGGGCAAAACGGAGCAAAAGGGCCAGACCAGCGGGCCAGACGGCGAGGGACGCCTGCAGCTAAAAGGGCACAGCATCACTGCTCGTGTTGTCAGGTTACTGCTCGTGTTGTCAGGACTCTCATTTGGCACTAGTGCAGGTGCAAACAGACACATGAAAGACGTTACAGTGAATATTACATTATGTTACATTCTACAAACATGGTGTAGTTTTCAGTTTAACATCTGGAACATCAGACATCTATGAGAATTAGTCATTGACATTTAAAGTTTCAGTTTCTCCCTTTTAAAGGTGAATCTTCTGACACTTTTTAATGAATTACCTGCTTTTTTTACCTCTGTACTGGATAATTGGTGGGAAGATTTATGTTTCATTTAATGAGTTTCAATGTCTGAGTTTTATTCTGCTATTTATTTGGTGTTTTACTCTTTTGAAGTTTTATTTTATCCAACATCTTCAATTGTTTTGTAAAGCCTTTCTGTTCTTATTAGGTAATGCTTTACATAAACTGCGCCTTCAAAGTGCATTCATTATGTGTTCATAGAACATTCAGTGTACATTAAAGCTGTGAATGTATGTTTGGATGTTGTGGTATACTTACATGCAGGATGCCAGAGCATCACTGGGCACAGACACATACAGACCACTGGGATGCCAGATCATCGCAAGGCATAGACACGCACAGACCACCAAGATGCCAGACCATTGCAGGGCACAGACAGACACAGACCACTGGTATGCCAGAGTATCACAGGGCACAGACACATACAGATCACCAGGATGCAAGTGTATCACAGGGCACGGGCACACGCAGACCACCAGGATGCCAGACCATTGCAGGGCACAGACAGACACAGACCACTGGTATGCCAGAGTATCACAGGGCACAGACACATACAGATCACCAGGATGCCAGTGTATCACAGGGCACACACACAGACCACTGGGATGCCAGAGCATCGCAAGGCATAGACACCCACAGACCGCCCAGATGCCGCCTCAGAAGCATTGCAGGGCACAGATAGAAACATACCACCAGTATGCCAGAGCATGGCAGGAAACAGACACACGCAGACCACTGGGATACCAGTGCATGAAAGGGCACAGACACATGCAGACCACTGGGATGCCAGAGCATGAAAGGGCACAGACACATGCAGACCACTGGGATGCCAGAGCATCGCAAGGCATAGACACAAACACACGGGAAACTGCTCTGGATTGAGGGCAGGTTGAGCCAAACAGGTCCACACAATCTTGGACTCACTTTTCAGCATCACAATGATCCGAGGCACACAGCCATGACAGTGGGGACCTGAACATTGCAGCTCATTTTCATTCTCCATCCAAAGGACCTGCAAGAATTAGCCAGCTGAACATGAGATTGGAATCGGCCACTTTCTGCCCATGGGCCCAAAGTCCTACCTAAACAGCCACACAGCTGGAACCTGGGTCATTCCACACCACTGCACAACCTCCAACCAACTGAGCTGTCCTGCTCTTTGGCTAAGAGGAGTCCGGACCACATGTGGAAGAGTAGGGGTGGTATCCCGATGTTCTGGCTAAAATAGCTCACGGTGGCCCTATCTAATCTGGCATCCTAATCATCCTCTATATCTAATTGGTGGTTGGAGTGGCTCCCCATTGGTTCTGCATAACGCTTTAGACGTCTTGAAAAGCGCTACATAAATGTAACATCCATTCATTCATTCAAACCTGCAACCTTGGAGGTGTGAGGCAATGGGGCTGCCCACTCAGCTGCCATGCCACTGAAAAACCCCAATGTAATATAAACATAATCCACACACACACACACACACACACACTGTGTACATAAGCTTGTACTAATGCTTCCTGTCCTCTACACTAATGCTTGCATTTGCTTTCATTTAACATAATGACTATTACATACATTTAGAACTAAAGTGACATGTGAAGGAAAATTACATCAGCATGAGTACAATCCTGCTTAACCTTCAATTTAATTGTTAATGCACCCAGCGTGTGACTGAAATTTATATTTTCAATTTTATTTCTTGTAATGTAGTGTCTGAAAAGTAAGATTATACCAGAAAAAATGACCATCACACAGTTTTGTAAGGCTTTTCTATTTGAATTTAATAGTTAAAAGTTTTGAATTGAGAATATATTTCATATGTACAGTAAAATAGTGTTTGGTACAAAGCAGATGAGGTACAAGAGGCAGATTTAAAAGCTACAATTAAAAAGGGATGTAATGACTTTAACCTGATTTATGTGTTCTTTAATATCAACATTTAACATTTTTATCCTCCACTTCTCTGACCCCCCCCCCCCCGATCTGCTTTCTGCATTTCTTCAATCTGCTTTTTTCCTTTTCTTAAACAAGGATCTGTGGACAGGAAATGGTGTCATTTGGGAGGGGTGAGGCGGGCTGAGAGCAGATTTCCTGTTACGACTAGAAGGAAAAGGGAGAAAGAAAAAAAGGGGGTCAGTCATAAAACAGCCAAACTTCAAACTGCAAAAACTTCTATTTTTACTCAAAATCACTTCAGCTGTCTCTCATGTCTCACACTCTGTTGCGAGCCCATGAGTGTTGCCATGACCAGACAATAACAGACGAAAACCTTGGAAAAAAACAGGAATACAGAAAAAAGCCAGCCCCCCTCCAGCCCCCCCTACACTTCCTCAAATACAAATCCACAGAGCAGAGCAGTGATTAAAAGAGGAGAAGGAGAGAAGAGGAGATGGTCAGGAGCAGGCAAATCAGGCTCATTTTTAAATGAAGAGGTTCAGGATATGATATATATTTAGTGCCGCTGTCGTGGGATTTACAGAAGCCGTAGTATGACACTGTACATTTCTGAAATTGCTTTAATAAGTAACAGAGAAATGTCACAAGCAACATCCGGATGGAAACTCTGTTCCTTTTCCGCTGGCTGTCTGTTCACCAACATGTAAATAATTGGATCTTACATCAGAAATCAAGGGATTTTTCTTTTGTGTGTCTAACTTTTTCTGAGGAGTCACATAGCTATGTTCCTGGATTTGGCTTAGTCTGAAACACCTAAAACAGAGGGAATGAAGAACAAGACAGGCAAGCAGAACTCCAAGGGGAAGGAAAGTGTGAGTGGATTTGGTTGTGACTTGACAGAACATCTAAAAAACTCAGGACAAGATGGTAAATATATTACTCTCCACTTTATCGTTTGTTTTTGTTTTTTTTCTCTTGCCATTCAGCAAAGAATGTGACTGTTTGTTCTTTAACTTGAAATTGTAATCTTCAAATATAAATATTAGAACTAAAGACATTTGTGATACACTTTTAGTACGTACATACACACTTGGAACTAATATATATATATAGTATCTTTGTATTTGTTCCAATACAAAACATAGTTCTAAGTGTAAACTTTCTCAAGTAGAGCAGACACAAAATGATTTATCATGGAAATTTAATTAATTTACAGGCCATTTTAATATTAATATAGAAATGTTCATGCACATGCTTAGCTATAAATTTACTATTGGCTATTGTCATATTCATTCTTTTCCTGAACAGTTAGTATGTTATGTTTGCATGTTCTTCCTGTGTTTGTGTAGCTTTTCTCCAAGTACTCCATTTTCATTATTACTTTTAGTGCTATTCAATAATCTAGTTTTACGTCTATTTCTGTGTAAAAATAGACAAACAAGGAGACAAACAGACAGTTTCAGGCTGAGAAAGCGGACAACATGACCACCTGCTATTCATTATGAGATTAAATAAAATGCCAAACACCAAAGAACATCTTAATAGTCAAAATTCATTGTGTGTGGACAAATAATTCAGTTTATTTTTATTTATGTCCCCCACAACAACAAATGCATTTGTTACCAATGCAATCTTTTGCATGCAACAAGCACAAAGAAGTATGTAAAACATTGCTTATTAGTCATCAAATCGTTAGCATCACAATACAAACTGTATATTTAGTTTAATGGCATCGTAGACTGATAAACAAACTAAGTGGTTTTTCACAACAGACAGTGACATAGGTATAGCTGGGAAGCATAACGCACACAGCAATGGTTTGCTTTGTGACGGTACTGCTGCCATTCCCAAACAGCTATTGTATTTGTGACTATATCTGTTAGCTTTGTAAATCAAAATGAACTACTGAAGGAACTATTGAAGGAACAAGTAATGAATAACACAAGCAAAATACTGATCTCATGTTTGTTCACCATTAATTAATCGTGACGCATCTTTCATCTCAAGTAGCTACTATATTTGTTCAGGATTTGTTCAGGATTTGTGCTTCAGTAGTAACTGAGTTACTACTAGGTATTTGTGTCCCCTCAAGTTAAGTGTTACCAATTAAAGTATAAAAGACAACTAAAGACCTGGGAGGGACAACAAGGGACAACAATAAAGTGTATGTGGGGGGGGGGAGGGGGGGATGTTGAGGAAGAATGGAGGCTGTCAAGACTGTTCACAAAATAAAAAAACACCATATGTCTTAAATTATAAAAAATTATAGCTAAGATTTATATATATATATATAAATGTATATTATTTGTATTATATATATATATATTTTCAAGGAACTGCAAAAATTCAACATTTGGGAAAGTGCAGGCCAGTGAAGCTACTGATCAAAGTGATGGAATATGAGGGAGGAGCCGGGCTACCTCCCACTGAAACTGCTGTCCCGAGGACAGGGGGAGGCACCACTCACCATGGACAGGGGGGGCCGCCGGGAGGCACCACTCACCACGGACAGGTTATCCAGCTGCAACGGCAAACAAACGGTGCTGAGGAGCAGAAACAAAAGGCAGCCATTTTGGTTTCAGCTGGGGGGGAAGTAGTCAGGGAAACAAAAAAGGCCCTGGGTCTCGGGAGGGGCAACGGCAGGGGTCAGGCAGCAAGGTCCGCACGTGGCAGCTGGGACAAAGAGGCGGTTCTATGGTACAGAAAACGAGGCACCCGTGTCTGAATGGGCTTATCGCCTGCTCTATACTCTACTCTATACTCTGCTTTATAACATCCATATCCCCATCTTAAAACCTAATTATGATTCTGACTGTATGGGAACGGAGACAGGGTATAACAAAACAGAGGAAAGAGAAGTGTGTTCCTACTTCAGGACAAGAAAACAAAATAGGTGTCAGGACTTGGAAAGAGTTACGATAGTTTGAGGCATAAGGAATGAGGGCCTGGCCGAGGATTCTGGGAAGGTGAAACAGAAGCCCGATTCTGCATGCTTGACAACAAGGTGCGGGTGAAGCATAAATGAAAAACCATCTGACTCCACCCCATCCATGGACTGCTACATCCATCTCCTTCATACAACCTTTAGGGCTGCTAGGCAGAAAACATATACTGTACACTATAGGAACAAAAGTATTGGGACACACCTCTCAATCACTGAATCACTATGTAAAGCAACAGAACGGGGTCGGCAAGTGCTGAGGCACATAGTGCATGACAGTCGCGAACGCTCTGCTGACTCAGTAACTGCAGAGTTCCAAACTTCCTCTGGCATCAACCTCAGCCCAAGAAGCGTCGGGGGCTTCATGGAATGGGCTTCCATGGCCGAGCAGCTGCATGCAAGCCTCACATCACCAAGCGCAATGCAAAGCGTGGAACATGTATTCATGCTGGACTCGCTTTTTGATATTTGGGCAAAATGCAAGTAGGTGGCAGTGAAAATGAATCAACATTTTTACCGTTTACGATAATTTTATGCCTTAAAATAGAAATGCGTTATACCTGCGGTGCCAATTGCGGGCGCTAACTGTGCTGCTCAAACATTTCATTTTGGAGTTTTGGATTAGGGTTATATTACAAAATTTTATTTAGCTTGGAAATTTCTTGTAACTGTTGTAATGCAGTTCAAAATGTAGCCCAGGCAAGTTGACTAGCAAGTGGCCGAGTGGGTGAGTGAGTGAGTGAGCTTGTGTATAAGCGCGGTGCTGCTGGCGAATGTGCCGACATTCCAGCCGCGGCCCGTCTGTTTGTTAGGACAGCGGCTTCCAGGCCTCCAGACCACCACCGTCTTATTTGGAGAAGCAGTTTTTATAAATGACACAGAAACAGTCATACATCAACTGCCCAATTCATACAGTGTTTTAACTCTGCATGCACAAAGTTTCATTATATTACTCGCGTCTGTGCGTGTATGAGTTTACACAAATGTAATTTATAGATGAAAGCAAAGCAGTTAAATGACTAGAATTAGGGCAATATGTAAAACACAAACAAATTAAAGCAGACTATAAATATAAATTAAAGCATTATGAAGTAAGAAAGTAGAGGTGTTAGAAAGGGCATGTAGTTTTATGGATAGGTTTGAATACTGCGTACGTTTTGTGATAAAAGCTTTCTTGGTAGGTGGATTGTGGCTTAAATTTGGTGATTCATAAAATTCTCAATGAGTAATCTGGGCTCATCCTACCTACTCATTACGCTGTTCTTAATGGGGAGTTACAGTTCATAGGAAACAATTATCATTTTATAACCAAGATGAAACGAACGATGGCATAGCACTGACACATCGCGAACATTATGTGTGTTGAAGAACAACTACTTTATGTGTGAAATGTTCTACAAGGTGACTTTAGCCAAACATACCAGATCACACATCCTGTACTCTGAATACATCTGTATATGGATGATTTTGTATTATCTGAACCGAAAATATGCTGCAAATATATTTTGATTCAGTATTTTCTGCATTTGAATGATATTAAGGAAACCACTAGAGAATATAAATACATTAAAAACACATTTACATTTACTATGAAAAAAATAAGAGATAAATTGGTTTCTGAATTCATTAATCCAATGCAAAACTAGGAAATAAATGGATATCAGATGTTATTATTCGGGAGAAACTATGCAATAAAATAACATGCTGGGCACCATGCTGGAGAAATATTGCCATTTTTTAATAATGCGAATGGTGGGATAATCAAGTGCAATACAAGTTTTAAAAATGTTAATTTTGGCTATTTATCTCATTCTCCTTTTTTCCTTTTGTAGTTCCTCAAGTTCTCAAGTGCTGTGCTGAATTTATTGAGAAACATGGAATTGTTGATGGAATATACAGACTCTCAGGGATCACGTCGAACATCCAGAGACTCAGGTACCTATCTCTGTAACCAAGGCGTCACGCTGTGTAGTTCTGAAAGATTTTAAAAAATCGTATTATTTTCCGTTATGATTCTGGTCATATAGCAATTGCATATTGGCTGAAGATGGGAGAAGGGATGGATGGATGACAACATTTCTATCATGCGATATTACAACAATAAGCACCACAAGAACACTGATAACAACAATCATAATAATAACACCAACCAGGACAAGATGTTTCATGATGTTTCAGTGGGTAGCACTGCTGTGGGACAGCCCTACAGGGTCAGCAGTCTGAATGCTGTCCTCATCCAGTGCCTGTAGCTCTTACACAGTGTGTAAATATGTCTGTGAGATCGTGTTCAGTAATGGACTGGCATCCCATCCAGGGTTGGCCTCTGCCTTGGGGCCTTTACTACATGGAATGGATGGGGGGGTGTCACCATAATATTATTCATGATAAGGGGTACGCAAGATAGACAGCAGCATTTCCAGTGTCCGCTTGGTACAGGCTGTGCCGGTCAACCCATCTAGTCGGTGACATAGGCGAGGACTTCATCAAAGACAAAGCAGCCGAAAAAGTGATTCAGTAACTTATCTACAGAGTATTGTCTTTAGGGGTGAATCAGAATGAGATCAAAATGATCAAGCAAAGGCACTGGAAAGGTTTTTTTTTAAATAAATCATTCATATAAGATAAGAAAGAACCGCATTCAATACAGAATAGCCTTGGTACACTTGACAATAGTCATCTGCAAGCTTTGGAGAGACCCAATACTACCAGCATTACAGTAAGACATGGTGAAGCCAAAGGAGCGGTGACATGCAGTGTTAGTGTGACAGCCTAGATCCTTTCTCTGCGTCTTTAGCTATGGGAGAGACTAAATTAACTGGAATGAACTGAACGCATTGAATTAATTGGGAATGATACCATAATTTGTATTGCATAATGCAGCTTATCAAATATGACTACATGACACCAGCCTACGTAGTGACCAGCTGGAAAGCTTTGCAACAAATCCAAAGTAGCATTTGGTGACCTCTAGAGGATATTAATGTACTGGGTTACACTGATACAGCTCTTATTCTTGAATAAGTGATGTGTTTATTATACTCTTTGAGATACTAGATGATACAAAAGTTCCAGAATATACTGGCAACTTATTAATTGAGCAGCAAGCTGTCTATATTCCATCCATCCATCTTTTAGCTGTGTATCCTGGTCCGGGTCGCAGACAGGGGGAAGAGGGCTGTGGCAAGATGCCGGTCACCGCTTACATTGTCATTGAAAAATTTTGCGTGAGGGAAAAAAAAAAACTTTCATTTTTAAATATTAGGTTAAACTTGCATTGTCGCCTCAGAAGAGATTCTGATGTATTCATTTAATTAAAATCAAGTGAAAATGGATGTTTGTGACTTATTACAAGAGATGCAAATTAAAACACTAAAAAATTATAATGATTAATTGAAGTGAACTAGATAAAGTAAAATCATCGTTTCACCAATTGTGCACTGCTGCTGAATTTAATTACAGACTTCTCAACTTCCTGTGCTTATGAAAACATTTATTCCCGGGTCAGAATGAATAAACATTTGAATGCATATTTCAGATGAAGGAGTGGGTGACATAACTTGAAACCAGATATATTTTTTCTCCTGCTAAAATGAAAACTGATGCCTTGTATCTGCACACATGCACATATGTCTTTGAAAATGCAGCAAGTGGTTGCATAAATTATCAAGGGCTTTTTTCCCCACTCGTAAAGCTGCCCCTGGCAGTTACCTGAATGCTGTCTTGCTGAAATCTCTGCTTGTCTTGAGAGATTCAGATCAGTGTTTGGACCCATCATAATTCACATAAATCACCTGCAATAACATCAGCCCTTTTCTGTGGGGTGACCAGATGATCCATGTCAGGCAGGACACTTTGAGCTGGGACAGCATTTGTAAACTACCGTTTCAATTAAAAGGACCTGGATTTCACTTAAGCACGGAGTTCTTGCCGTGTGCTGATTGGTCAGTCTCCTACAATCATGCATGTGTCACTATAATATTAATGTTAACAGCTGGATGAGTCTTTCAATCAAGGAAACAAACCAGTCATAGCATGAGAAGAACCAAACTATTTAGCCAAGCGCAGGAGCCTCCCAGTTTTAATATAACTTGGATTATCTGGTCAACCTTCTTTTGTGTTTGTATACTACAGCACAGTTTGGGTCAGAATAACAACAGAAACAACAAAGCACTTATTTATAAAACAATAATATCCATATGTAATTCATAACATATGAGTGTGATCCCTGCAATGGACATAGATTCATTTCTCATGCTCTGTGTTTCTTGAGGACAATATGTTTTATTTGCAGTATGTTAACAATAACTCTCAATACCTTGAACTCAGACTGTCTCCACATTTCTGGCCATGTGACCGTTGACCTGGTGTCTCTCTCTGCGACTGTGCAGGCAGGAATTTGGCTCCAAGCTGAGCCCTGATCTAACGAGGGAGGTGTATCTTCAGGACATTCACTGTGTGGGCTCACTTTGCAAGCTGTACTTCAGAGAGCTTCCAAATCCACTGCTGACACATGAACTATACAGGAAGTTTTTGGTGAGTGAGTGTGAAAAATGTTACATACAATACAGTATATAAATATATACTGTATAGGAACTTGACCTAATTGAAGAAAAAACCAAGATCTGCATGCAAGACAATATTAAAAATACCTTCTAGGTCTTTTCTGTCAGATGTTCCCACATATAAGTTTTAGTGGCATCAATCTTTATTATAACGTCATGTGTTTTGACTATAATTGCATGGAAAAATTGCTTTATATGGACATTTATCAGCCCCGAACCCCCCAAACCCATGCAGTACTACCACAACATTGGTAGCAACATGACCCTACTGTCCATGCCCAAATATATGGCCTTGGTGGGACAGCCTGAAGCCTCCTACACAATGAGTTGAATTACAGTGAATTTGAGCAGTGTGTGGCTCAGTGGGCTAAGCCTCTGTGCCTGAGGTCAGAAGGTCCCCAGCCTCTGTACCTTTGATCAGAAGGTCCCTTGTTCAAGCCTGGCCTTGGAGGATATTCATGCCTGTGGGCCCTTGAGCGAGACCCTTAACCCCCAGCTCCATGGGGCTGCTGTAGGTTACTGCCATTCACTGCCAAGCTTGCTTTCATCTACATGTGTGGCATGGAGAGCAAGATGGGGTAGGCGACATGGTAACCTTCCAGAAGGTATCATTGAAGTATCATTATTATTCATTGACAACACCATTTGGGTCCATGCAGGATGCCGTGTCGGGGAAGGAGGAACATGATCAGCTACAGTGCATTCAGAGTGTCATCAGAGAACTTCCCTTGTCACACTACAGGTAAAATGCAAGTGACACTCTTTGGTGCAATTTGTGTCACCGTGTGGCTGCTGACTTGAATTAATGGTGTTTTTCCCCCTCAGGACCCTGGAGTACCTCAGTAAACACCTCACACATCTTGCTGCTTTCAGTTCCCTGACAAACATGCATGCTAGAAACCTGGCCCTAGTGTGGGCTCCGAATCTTCTCCGGTAAGTAGATACCCCAAACCTGCATTCAACAGGTAACAAAGTTGTCAAGCTAAAGCCATGCTGAATTTTTTTTATCTGCTAGACATCGGCAGCAAGTCTCTTCACTAATTTTACTATAGATCAGGTAGGGATTCCTCAGCTGTCAGTTATTTTTATCGCTAAAAAGCGATTTTAACTGGAACCACCAGAAATTTGTTGCACAACTATCGCGTTATGAATGCCTCGCTAATGTAATTAAGTGTTGTAGATCACCATGTGATTCTTTATGTACCAGGGTCCCCAGTTGCAGATGTTGATGCTATTCTAGAAACTCTCATGCTGAAGATTAATAAAATAGAGTCGATACCCAAGATACGGGTGCTCGCCTGACATGCCGATCCAAAGTTTGCTCCAGCGAATAATCTTAATACTCACATTCATGTTATCGCTCATAATGCTATAACAAGTAAATATCAGGTGATCTAAATGTTTCAGTAATTCCCTGGTAAAGTTTATCTTGTGAACAGGAACATATGGGATAGAGGTTGATTCTTGCGGGACAGGCAGTAGGGACCAGTGCCCAAAAACACATTTCAGGACATCAATTTTTGCAATACATGCTTATACAGAACAAGAAAATATATCCATAGAGAGAGAGACAGAGAGAGAGAGAGAGAGAGATAAATAGAATCAAAGATAAAACACAAATAAATGTTTAAAGAACACCATAGAAAAGTGTTATTTGAAAAATGTTTTACTCTTATTTATACTATTATGGCTGTTAAATATCTGTCTTTGCACATTTCTTTTTCGTATGGAAGATCCAAAGAAAATGAAATCCTTACCTGTAATGGAGACACTGCGTTTCTGGAGGTGAGGGTGCAGCAAGCAGTGGTGGAGTTCATATTAAACCACATGGATCAGATCTTCAACAATAAACCTGGACAGTCTATACCAAAAGAAGAAGGTAAGATACATTTCTATATTCGTTCCTAAATGACATTAGGGGAAATTGCTGTAATACTCCCTGTGAAAGTACCAAGATAAAATACATTTGCGTAAGCAACACACGATGTCACGATGAATTCATCAGGTGCTCTCTGTCTCCCCTTATCCTGTAAGAAGCAATCCAGTGCGACACACAGTGAGAGCTGACATCAAAGACCTGCATGCATGAAGTGCTTACATCATCACTACCTTAGTTACACAGAAAGCATTCTTAGCAACATGGAACAGCCTTGTCAGCTGACACACCAATAACCAACACAGCTACATATATGGATAAACTAGCGTAAACCGTTCAGCATAGTAAGATTCACAGTAACACGCATGCTGCGCTTTTTGTGACGGCATACTGCTAACCCTAAAATCTGTAATTACCTGAATTAGTTCTAATAACGTTTCACACCGTTCAACTACTAAAGCATCGCAAGACTGCAAGTACAAAGTATTTGCGATTGGTGTAGCTTCCAACCATACTGTCTAATTATTCAGCTTTTACATGCATTGTAGAGATGACAGTAGATTACTGACTATACCGCTTTATGCCAAATACCTAACAATGTATTTTACATAGATTATTTTGGTGGAATTTTGGTATACATGGCACGTGACATGATATGCTGATTTAACCAGATAGACTAGTGAGATTTGAATGAATACAGATACAAAACTGCTCCTTAGTTCAGTGTTACTCAACCCGGTCTTCGGGGGGGCCGCTGACGGTCCACATTTTTGCTACCCGGTAAGGAGCTGGGAGCTGGAGGGGCCCAAAGACCAGAATGGGAAACACTGTCAGAGGCTCATCGATTATTTAATAAGATTAATAATGAGGAGAATGTTGGAAAACTTAATGACAGGTTCAGCCAAGTTTATTTAAGCATGCAAGTTGTTCTAAAGTTTTTATAAACTCCTTCTCATCCTTCTGGATAAGAATATTTGGTTACACTTTACATTAACTGCACCCTTATAATGGCATTATAATGCATTTGTAGAACATTTAGTGAACCTTTATAATGCATTCATAATGCTTTCATAGAACATTCATAAGCAGCATGGAAGTATACCTTAACATCCTAACATACATTAGCAGCTTAATAATAACAAGCATTATAATTATATAATGTTTATTAATGTATATGTTTATTACTACATGTTAAGATATACTTACATGTTGCTTATGAATGTTTTACGAATGCATTATAAAGGCATTATGAGGGTGCAGTTAATGTAAAGCCTTATCGAATATTTGGAGAAGAAATCAAGTTTTCATGTGTTGTTGAATGAATGGTGCTCCTGATAAAGCAGTTTCTGCCTTAGCTGACCATCAATTTAATCAACAACACTTTATTGTAATGGTTATGAAGGTATATTGAACTGATTATAATGGTGTTGTGAAGCTCATAATGCCATTGATCGAATATCTTCGGAACATCAGATTTCTGGTCCATCTGACAAAATAATCTTTGTTTCTTGCACAATATTATTTCACAATCTGATTCTTATGAAATAATTATTGGTATGATGTGTTGTTTATGAAATTGCATCTTGGTTATTTTTATGCTTAACATTACATAAAAGAAGACTGATTATGTTAAACAAAAATTGCAGGGCAGAGTTCAGCATGTGAGCCACCGTATGTTATGACCAACTTTGCTGCTCCGGGTCAGTATGCCCCTATGAAACTGATGAGCCTGGAAGAGGCCCAAGCTCGCACGCTGAACGCGAAGCACCCGGCGCGCAGGGAGTGCCCGCAGGAGAGCGACGCCGCCGAAGGGAGCACAACTGACGCCAAAATGTACCACACTGTGATCGACATGCCCAGCAACAAGTACGATTCTCATTCTTACGCAGCAGAACTTCACAAAACTTCTACGAGACCACTTGTACCTTTTTGACCATTGTAGCATTAAAAGAGTTTAAAAAGGAAAAAAAAAACATTTGGCAAAGTGCTGCTTTTATATCAAGAAGCAGGGGGAAAAAAAATTAATCCAGAGCCTTCCTGAGGAAATGAGGGACGCCCAGAATGGCGCGGTGGTGCTTTAAAGAGTTAAAGTGTTATAGACTCACAACTCTCAAAGCAAATATTTGAAATGACAAAATAAGTTTTCCTGCCACCATTCCCCTGGCTGCTGTTGTGTAGGATGTCAAACAAAGGAAACTGATTTAAGACCAATTTTCTTTAAACCCAACGCAAGTACACACAGGTAATGATTTTTTTGTAACATCCAGTTGTTTATCTTGGCAGCTGAGTACCCAACAGTCTGCAAAACAAGAAGAGTTATTGTGTGGGCTTTTCCGCTCAACAAAATCTGCCAGTTTATCTGTAACAGGTCCTAAGTTCATACTGTGCCACTCAGGATATGGAAGGCAATGGTTTAAATGAAAATATCTGGTATGGGACATGCCCTGAATCATACTGATGTACGATAAAACAGACGCACAATACATGCAAGTCAGCAGCACAGATTTTTACGCTAACAGGAAGATGATAAAAAATACAATGAAATGTGTTTGCCGATCACACTCACTAACCAGCACAATAGTATGTGATGTGATGTGATGTGATTGCAGTTTCCATAACAGCGATGATGACTTTCAGTTTGCTCCAAATAGCACAGTTTTGTCTTGTACAAAGCTTGTTTTCTTAATACAAATAACTTACTGAATCATATGAAGACCCAGTGATTCGTGGGTTCAATAAAGAATGCCTGGAAATGCAGCTGCTGGTCGTGGCAGATTGTGTTAGGTGAACTGGTCTTCCAAATTCTAAGGATTTGTGTAGGCCCAGTGATGGATTAGCATCCCGTTCTGGATGTACCCTGCTTTGGAGATACCCTGTCCTGTGATTCCTGAAATAGACCGTCTGATGTAACCATGCACAGGGCTGTGTGAACATTCACATTCTTTGCTTCAGAGCCCGGTGTGAGCTTCAAGATCACAAAGAAGAAGGATCTAGACCAAACAATGAACAATGTTTGGATCAGAATATTCAGCGACTAACAGCTTTCAGCAGGGACATAACAGTTCAGCTGTAATGTTGAAATTGTAAGGGAGCGGCCAAGAAGGAAAAGCCACTTTTTTGTCATTTGAGCCACTGAGCTACTTACATTGCAAGGAAAGTAGAGAGCTGTGCATTATAGTCATTATATACTGTATATTAGTGCTGTCGTCTCCTAATGAGTAACATATAGTCGCTCCAACTTGGGTCTCTGAGCCATTTTCCCCCTCAGCTGTGGGTAGTGCATGGCTCTGTGGGTATGGGGCTCTCTGCCTGTGACTGGATGGTTGTTGGTTCGAATCCTATACCAGTCAAAGTGTTGTTAGGCCCTTGAGTAAGACCCTTAACCAAAACTGTTCCAATCTGTCTGACCCTGTTCTCTGATCCTAACTCAGAGAAAAGCAGCTGCCAAGCAGATATATGGCAGAATAGGTTTCACCCAAAAATAATGCAGGACAAATCAGCTCAAGTGCAGTGACTTCTGCACAAAGTTAGATCAGAGCTGGCCTGTTTTTGCTCCTCTCATACTTCAGGTTCACTCTCTGAAAAATATTAATGTTGTTGTTTTATCATAAATCAGGTGACGTGTTAGCAAATGCTCACTGGCCATCTGCGTTTAATTTGACAGTTTCAAAAATGGCTAAAGGAAAATAATACCACGGTCAACACCAAAAATTCAACATTATATTCAGCGTTATAGACATGCATATTATAGACGTGAATAAAAGTCAGATAAATGCCTTTGGGGACATCGCTGCTGGTCACTGAGCTTTAAGGCGTCTTTAATATATTCTTTATATATCATGTTACAAGGAAGTGCTGAATCATATTACTCATAATATTTTTTTTAAATAAATTGTCTGAATAAATTGAGAATTAGTAATGTGTAAGTAATTCTTTGTTTTTCTTCGATCTATTAGAAGAAGTTTCTCAGGAAAATCTAAGAAATGGAAGACCATCTTCAGCCTGGGAGGATCCACAAATGACACAAAGAGGAAGCTGACCTGGAACGGCAGTGTCTTCATAAAGTCCAGCAAATTAGCAGGTAGCTCTCTGCTCTTCCAGGAGTCACTCACAGTGGAAGAAAAGGAAACGGGGAATGGAAAAATGAAAAAGTTGGGGAGAGAAAAACTCTATCACACTGGCTAATTTATTTTTTCTACTATAGCTGGGGCTGAAATTTTAAAATTTTATTTCATAATCAAATATGAACTAAAGTATATGAGAATCCTTTCCATAAACCAATTGTTCCCATTCCTCATCCCAGCTTGTTACATTGTGCAGTCAGATCAATGAAATATATAAATATTTGAATTGAATTATTATTATATAATCATTTTTATCAATGAAATGTCCATCCCAAAGCTTTGGGGAAGAGAGGTTTCAGCATATAAATATTTCGAGCAGAGTTTGCAAATGGATTGGAAAAGGCAGTAGCCTACGGTATATGAATGCTTCAGTGGATAAGTGCAAAAAAAAAAAAATACTTCAAAGCTTAATTCCAGGAGACATGACCCTGTAGCCACGTTAAATGTATCAATCATTTCATTCTGTATTAGAATAAATTCCGAATTAGTTGCAGATAAGATGCAGCTTTTTTAGCTTGTAACAATTCAGGGAAATATTTGTGTGTGTATGCAGAATTTAATTTTCAATCATTTTTTTCATGTTCCATTTATCTCTGAACGAGAACAAGCTCAAAATAAAAACCTAGGAATTATGGTTACTGTCTGCCATATTGCTTGACATATCAAAGTGATATACAGTGGTACCTCAGAACTCGAAATAATGGAAAACCAAGTAATTGGTTCCCTGCCCCAAAAAATGACACCGAAATATGTTTTTTTAAGCATTTAAACACAAAATGAACCGGACAAAACAAGAAAAGCATATACTGTACTAAACACATCTAAGCAAATTTATCAAAACAGTAATTTTTAAAGTAAGAAAATAAATGCATCCAAACAATGTGTAAAGTAAAAAAAACAAAAAACAACAACGATGTGTCATGCCCCGATCGTCCGCTCCTTCCGTGTGCCACGCCCCCTCGTTAACCCCGTGTGGAATCCCCATGTTATCACAAAACTTGATTTTTTCCCTCAACTGCATATGATGAATTTCTGGTTGTTGTCATTAGTCCTCGGTATTTAGTCTGCGTTTCAGTTTCCCCAGTCCGGTCATTGTATTGTCCGTCTGCGTTTTGCCTGCCTTACCTGTAATTAAACCCCGTATTCCCTGATGCCCTGACGTCTGCGCTTTTGTCTCCGTTCCATCCCGCCGGGCATGTCAATATTATTATAATTAAATGTATTAATGGTTTATTATTAATATTAAAATAATTAATAAGAAATCTTTATTTTTAAATGTATTTTATTATATAATAATAATTACTGTTATTATCATTGTCTAAATGTATTTTTACTGTCTAAATATATGTATTCAGCTAGTGTAAACATGCATGATGCTATCACAGCGAATGCAAGGCTGAGACTGAAGAGACGTTTGGTGTAACTCATTTCCCTGTGCGTACAAGTTATCTTAGGTCAGCGTTCATGGTTTGACTTCTGAGATTCAGATTGAGTCCTAGGTAAATTTTTTTCAAACTGATTAGTTCGACTTTTAAGAAATTCGAGTTTTAATGAGTTTGAGAACTGAGTTACCACTGTAGTCTTTTTCAGAACAGATTAATGGAAGCTGCATGGTGGAAATAACTGTAATATTTTAAATCTTACTTTTGGTAGTTACTAGTTAAATAATTACAAAGTAGCAAATTCAATTCAAAGTGAATTTCTCTGGTTCTTGTACTCTGCATTCAACTGACTCTCTCTTGCACTGTTATATTTTGGCATTTACAAGTATTACATGTGCTAATGATTTATGACATTTTAATCGGAATGGTGCCTTACGTAGCCCGATGTTCTTTTACAGAAAAAGCAACAATTCGGCCAGCCAAAAGCATGGACTCTCTGTGTTCTCTCTCTAAAGACGGTAAGGCATACACAAATTCATCACAAAAAAAGCACCGTAGTAACATGGTATTACAGTCTCTTTTATTCTTACACTTCATATCAAAGATGGTGAATTCAAGCAGCCGACCAAAGCCCATATCTCAGCAGCACCTGCCTTCAAGTCACATACGCTAGACTCCAACTGCTCATATGACCTCAGCAAGGAAGACGAAGAGTGGAATTTGGAGCCCGAGAACATGCTGGGGGCCACGGCAGACATCCCAAATCCAAAGAAAAAAGGGAATAAGGGCGATTCCCTCCCTCGGCAAAGGAAACTACCCGAACAGCTTAAAGTATTCAAAGGTGACGACCACTGCCACCCCACCTCGCCAAAGAACAGGAGGATGTTATATTCCGGCAACACCAACAGTGGCTCTTCTAGAACCTCCTTCCCAGGAAAACTCTTCCCGCTGGAATCGTCAGCTCAGCACCCATGCAAAGCCCTCAACATCTCCGAGCCCTTTGCCGTGTCAGTCCCTCTACGTGTGTCTGCCGTCATCAGCTCCAACAGCACCCTGTGCAGAGTGCTGGACAAGGACAAACACAGCCACCCGCTCCCAGAGCCCATCAGCGAAGCTCCAGTGTCCGAAAAAAACAGAGGGAGGCGCAGCAGTAGCACACTGAAAAAGGAGGGCGTTCAGGCAGGATCCAGTAGAAAAGTGGAAGCTGCTTGCTCCATGGAGGCTAGAAAAGGTAAACAATCAATTCTGCATTTTACAAATCATAAAATACAATCATAATACAAAGGGTTAATTTTTGGGCTGCATCTATATCATGACATTATACCGCTTACCTTGTTTACCTATAATGCACTTTGCAGAATGCTGTAAATATGTAACAAATGGTAGATACAGTATTGGCACTTTCATTTATAAAAAGATTTAATGTTTAGAGTCAACCTATGTTGTTACCTCGTATGTTATTATAACTCTTTGAAAGTAACCCGCAATGAGAGGGAGGCCTCTGTGCAATTAAATATGCACACATTTTCATTCTCGAAAAGCAGCCGGAAATACTGCTCAATTCATTAATGTACTGTAGCCATGTGGTGTACACGGTATAGACGATAATATACTATGAATGTCATCAGTTTAAATCTTGCTTTTTTCTTACAGGAGAAAATACAGATTTGAAGGAAAGCAGCAGCAAAGGGGTTATTTCTGAACCCCAGCTGCTGCTGCCAGTCCGAGCGAAGCATGCACCTTGCAGACCTCCACACCTTCAGACCCAGCCGACCTCCTCAAGCACACTTGAACAAAATGAAACTGGACAGGAGACTCTATGTCAAGCTCATATGGCCACTCTGCTGCCAAAAGAACTTGTCGGATCCGAGAAACGACTGGTGACTCCACAGAAGCACCACTCTGGACTAAGGAAACTCACCAAAACCGTAGGTGTCAAATCATTATTACATTTCATTTTAATATTTTCCCAAAAGTAGTATTAAAAATGTTTTTTTTTTTTTTTTTTTATCTCTGCAGGATGAAAAAGCAAGTGGCAAAAGAATGGACCAAGACTGGGACGGTATTGACTATGACTTAAAGGAGATTAAGTCTAGTGTTGATGTTGCACAAGACAAACCAAAGGCGAAGCTGATGGCGAAAAGCAAGAGCAGCTCCCTGCTAAACGACAGATCAAATAGCCTCACTCTCAATGACAATCATCACACTGCTAACTTTTTCACTTTAAGGGACATGCCAGTGAGACAACTTTCTTTTGACTGGGATTCTAGACATTATACAGAATTTAAGGAAGACTCAAACACTTCTCCAGTGCAGTCATTTGATGCATATGATGAATTAAACAAACCAGACCTACCTCTGACAGAGAAATCTGATACAATCAGTAATATGCCTTTACCTGTCCCTCAGAGCCAGCATAAGTGTCCAGAATATGGAAAAACACATTCAAATACAACTCAAAATCGTAATGCAATGACGAGAGAACAACCGAATGTACCAAATGATGAACTAAAAATAAAAGAAGCTTTCGATCCTGTTTCAGTAAAGATCAAAATGGAAACCGTGAACAAAAATGAGCACAAAGGTGACAGACAGAAAATTGACCCGAAGAGAAGAAGCATGAGTCTGTCACAATCCATAAATAAGAGTCCGTCATTCTTAGAATTAGCTGATAATGATGATGAAGAGTCCTTGGGAGATAATATGGGGGATCTGGAGTTGGTAGAGCCCTGGGAAGACAACAGTGGCACAAAACACTGGGTGACCAGTCCACTCCACTCTCCCAAAACACTTAATTTTTTTCAGAGTCAGGAAGAATTGCTGTCATGTTTAATGGGGGAAAGTTACAAATCAAACAAGTATGTCAGAGAGGGTAAGAAGAATGAACTTGGGGATGGTAACAGCACTGAAATATCTCCAGGGAAGAGTCTACAAGTTCATCATCACAAAAACACCCATGATGAAAATACACAGCCACCAAATTGGGAAAATATTCCAGCCAATGAAGTGAAGCCAAAATTTAAAGGAAAGGATGAGAAGCTTTCAAAGCAGAAAAATAACTGCTCTTTCCAAAGGCCAAAAAGACAAAGATCCCAAGATAGTTCTTGTATGGAAAATACAAAGGAAAATTCTGTTACAAAGCAGAGGCCGCGTTCACTCAATTTGAACCTGGAAACTCTATACATCAAGGATGCTTCAGAGCAGGAAAACTTTGATTTCCTGCCAGGTATTTCACTCAACCAAAAATCACTGCCCAAGTATGGCTGCTCATCGACTGAACTAAAGAAGTTCCTTTGTAATCGTCAAGCTTCGATGCGCAGGAACTCCGCTCCAGTCAGTGTCTCGTCAGTCAGGACATCATTCATGATCAAAACCTCCCAGGCCAACGCTGTGCCGGTGAAACTGCCAAAGATTCAGTACAGTCAGATACCTCAGCCGCTGCCGGCGAATAATGCCGACAGCTGTCCAAATAAAGAGCTGGAAAATGACCCAACAGGAAGCAGCAAAATGAATAAAGAAACTACTTCACCTCTACTCTGCATCAGAAATTCGGATGTTAATGTAGAGAGCAGTCAACCAGCATTAGCAAACCCCGGGAAAGTTAGTAATGGTTACCCGACAGTGTGGCCACAGAAACCATCGGAGTTCAGAAACACCTCCCATGGAGATGCATTCGGTGACTTTGCAAGACTTGAGCGACCTACGGTAATGAAGAGGCCGTCCTTCAGGGCTCGGCCAAACAGACCCCAAAGCCTCATTCTCTTCACTCCTCCCTTTCCCAGCATGGACTGCCCACCAGCTGCAGATGATGACAAAATTCTCCTCTCACCCATCAAAAGCCCCACTGAGATGATGGCGTCTGACGTGCTTTCCAAGGAACTTGCGGAGTTTGAAGATGTGTCTTTGCGTAGGAAAATGACAATGCCAAAGAGTGGCCAGAGGTTAGAAACTTCGACAAGTTGCTTCTATCAACCACAAAGGAGATCAATGATATTTGACAGCAGAGGCAATAGGCAGAATGAATAATTTTGGCTGTTTAATTTTGTTGGCCTTTTCAAGTAACGTGCAGTTATCTGCATGGGCATTTGCTTATATGAAATGCGCTGTTTACCTGTACCGTTAATGACATGCATAAAACAATACAAACCATACAAGATATATTTATATACCGTATCGATATCTGCTGTTCAAGTCTAAGTGCCTTATAATGAAAATATTCTCTTTGTTGCACATTAAGTATATATTGCTGAGTAACATTATTTTTGCCATTATTTTTAATATCCATGTATGTAATATATTTGCATTGTGTATATACATACACATAAACATTTTAAATTACTTTTTTTCTCTAACACACCAAAACTCTGACCAACAAATATATCTTAAATGTATCTATGAAAGTAATTTGTTTGCTTGGTGCAGTGGCTTTTGATGCCAGTGTTATTACTCACTGCACCAGTGCTATTCTTTTTGCTTTTACAAACATTTCAACTGCATGAAATGCACAAGGTAAAGACAAGTTCAGTTTTTAATACTTCAAAGTGCATTCTGCACATACATTTCAGAGTATAAGATTATTGTTGATGTCAATAATAAGCTTTGGTGTGCAATTTTTACTAAAAAGGAAAGTAAGAATGAGAGAATTAAACACTACTGTTACTACCAATTAGCTGGTGTAGTATTAAAAACGTAGCCATTCATAGTCCAAAACTGAATCAACAGAATCTTTCAGATAAATATTCTTTTGCTTACTTTGTAGATCAATTAGTATATCTATCAAAGTCATGGATCAGTATTGACTAGTATAATTATGAAGGAAACAAAAGGGTTGAATGTGTTTTGGTGCTAAAATGTTACACATATGATTACTCTGCTTTCTTGCAGTCATTACTAATAATCACAGTTCTTATTTGTATTTCATTATGTGTATCTCAGAACCCTCCTCCTGTTATGCAGAACTCTAATTCAATTCTAATGTAGTGCTTCTGCTTCAGATGCAGAATAAGTATTTTTTATAATTTTCCTCTTTTATTCTCCATCTCATATAGATGATTTCTGTGTTTAAAGGATCGTGTGGTTATGTTAATGGATATAGGATGTGAAGTTAAAATGCATGAGGGTCGAAAGTGAGTAAAGAAGGAATGGTTAGGGCAAGACGTGGCTTATTTACAATGTCATGGAAATCACAGAAAATCTGAAGCTCTCATCCGAGGTTTTAAGGAAACATTTTTCTGAGCGCAGACGATATTGCTTAGCTCACCCACAGATAAAAAGCAGAAAATATATTTATGATCTACACAATCTTTAATATTAATGAACTTTAAATTTTTATCTTTGTCTTAAAGGCATTTAGGTCATTTTAAAATAAACCGTATTTACCTGCTCTTTGAAGAAAATTGTTCTATATAATAGGCCTATCATTTTTTGAAAGCATTATAGTGCAGAGCTTAAAAATAGCTAATATAATACAAATTGGGTCGATAAACCTAAACTATATGCTATTAATCAAAAACTAGTTTTGTTAGGAAGAAACCAGCATCCATGCTAGTGTGGTGAGATGGATAAAAAATATACGTAATGATTTTTAAAAGAAGCTAATGACGGGCTAGTGTAACTGGAAGAGTGTTCTATGGCTCCGTATTGGGGCTGTTAATGTTTCCCATTTACGTAACAGATGTTTAACACAGAATTTTTATGGTTAAATTAGATTACAAAAAACTAATCAGGTTGATCAGACATAGGATGTGGAGCAGAAAATAAAAGCAAAATTTTTCATTCAGCAGATGAAACTGACCAAGAAGAATACATGTACAGTAATTAATTTATGAAATAATGTACAATACACTTTTTTGGCAATGGGAATACAGATTCCTCCTACAACACGTTTAAATTATAATGCATAATGTAATGTTTTGAAAACTTTTGAAAAATGAATTTAGAAATCTTATCCAAGACATCACCAAAATGCTCTTGACATTATTGCTGTAGTTGCCTGACTAATAAAGATAATGTGAGTTCAGCATTAAGCAAAGAGAATGGCTGCTGCATTTAAGCTGCCTATTACACTACACAATGCAGCCTGTATATAAACAACAGAATGTAAGTGAAAAAAGCTGCTGAATGCAGAGCAAGTCCGACTTAAAAAGCACGAGCGCTGCCAGAACAGCACATTACATCAGCGACTGCAGGTCTATCCTCAAACTAAATCCAGCTGGTTGTTCATTACTGTGCCTCAGATTTCTCATGATTCTGCAAACTGTAAACTGCAAATTGACATTAGCGTTTTACCATAAAGATGGTACAGCTTCAGGGGGTATGATACAGTATATGTTTGCATTATACAATTTATTTATGCACATTGTTTTTTTTATAATATATGTTGACATTTCCTAAGAAGGTGCATGGTGATTTTATGTCAGATTATTTTACTGGGACTGGAAATAAGTCAGTTTTGTTTACTTAATTATGTTAAGTACACGCAACTGGAAATTAAGAATGAAGTCTTTGAACTATAATGTATTCAGCAAATATTCAACATCCACATTTCTGTGTAAAGCAATTATATCATTTATAATGTAAAATCTTAGAAATGCTTTAAAATTACCCATAATGCAGTTAGCTGTGGATCTCGATCCACTTTTCCTCCATTTTAGCATTAATTAGTAAACCTGCTTTATCTAAAAAAATCCTCCAAACCTATAAGGGAATAAAGGTTTAAAAACACCTCAGAACCGCAGGGATAACTACTGTCTTGTTGGTCTGGAACTTCTTCTCGGTGCTCTGTCTTATCCTGATAACCTTCCGAAATGGCATTTTGCTGGCCACGTATTACAGACAGCTAAAGCCTATGTTAATAAGCATATTATAGCAGGGGTCTCCAACTCCGGTCCTGAAGAGCTACTATCCAGTAGGTTTTCTATCCTACCTGGCTACTGATGAGCCATACCTGCTCCTGGTATTTATCTGAGAACTAGTGTGGCTCATCAGAAGCCAGGTAGGATAGAAAACCTACTGGATAGTAGCTCTCCAGGACCGGAGTTGGAGACCCCTGTATTATAGTATGTCAGAAGGAACTGCATCCTTGCAGAATCCCAAAAAGTCTTCAAATTTCAGCAACTGGTTTAATGCAGGGGTGCCCAACTCCAGTCCAGGGGGGCCGGAGCCCTGTGTAGCTTAGTTATTTCCCTGTTCCACCATAAATGATTCAGCTCAAGAGCTGTGTGGTAAATAGCACAAGGAGTTGAATCAGGTGTGTTAAATGAGGGGAATCCCAAAAATGTGCAGGGCTCTGGCCCTCCAGCACTGGAGTTGGGCAGCCCTGGTGTAATGTATCCTCCATGTTTTCCATGATCATAATCCCGCATAGCTTAAGTTCAGTATTTGCAGTGGGGCAATGCACTGAAGGGGGAAGCAAAAATTGATACTATTAGCTTGTTTGTTTCGAGCAGCACTGGGAGAGAGTTTATGAACTATTACAAGCCAGGATGTAACATTTTCTTTCTGCTTATTTTTCTTTTCATTTACCTTTTCATTTCTATGTATTGGGTTTCTATCCCATTTTAATTAGATCTATACAATTTCTCAATTTCTGTATATAAGTTCAGCTAATGAGTAAATCGTATATTGTTTAACCTATATGGTTCTATGGGGACGTCAGCCTTGCTACTGTTCAGAGTTCATATCTTTGTCATGTAATAAAAATTGAACTGTAATTTATTATTCATTTCCTTTATTGGTTCAAGAACAGATCTACTGAGAACAGGCCAAGTGGCAACATTGTTATCATTGTTAGCAATGCAACTACAAAGGTTTGGGAGCGAAGGATGTAGCTACTTTTCTCGTAACCATAGATACGCTCCATCTATGGGGTGTTGTTCCCTTTTGGACTTTGAATTTAGCTTTGTATTCTGTGTTCAGATGACAGGTGGGATGTTGTTACTATGGTAGATATACCATGATAGAGGAAGCAGTTACCATGGTAAATACACCATGATAGAGGGATGCAGTTACCATGGTAGATATACCATGATAGCGATGCACTTGGGATCACCTGGTGCATTATGTTTGCTCACTGATTTTCTTCTCATGCTATCTTTAGTACTCATGACTAACCTCACCAAGACGTTTTCGATTCCGATGGGAGTACAGAATTACTGTTTCTGTTTTTACATTTGCTAATACAAAATGTTTGCATGTTCAAAACAATGTGCAATGTTTTCAAAACTCCTGAGACAATAAACTGATTTTCAAAGATTCTTGTTTCAAAAGTCTTGAAGCCCTTAGTTTGATATTATGTAGTTAAGTTTAAACTAAGTTGCAAAGCAACTCAGTGAAGTGTGCTTAAAGTAAGTATACCTATACTGTATATCTATCAGGTGTGGTGCCGGGACAGCGGATGTGGCTGAATGGACGCGCCGCTCACAGACACACTTCTCACTCACACCGGTCTTTGCAGAAGCAGGAAACTCCTCTGGCCCTGATGCAGCCGGTATCCATGGCAATGAACTTTTGGAGGATAAAAAACATTGGAAAAAACGCCATCAAAATATTTATCATAAAATACGTACATAAGGGGCATACGTAAAAATTCTGGGCCCCTAGACAAAATTTCACCTTGGTCCCACCGCCCAATTTAATGTAGGAATGAGGGAAGGCACTGGTAACACAAGGGAACAACGTCAATGACTGGGGATCACAGGACTAGGAAGCACTTTTATACAAAACTGACAAGGGAGCTAATGAGAGGCAGCTGGAGTGATTGAAACGAGGGCAGGATCAAGAAGTAAGACAAACGAGTGCCGGGCGTGGCTCGTTAGGGACACGCCAGGGAGAACACCGGTGGGTGAGGCAGACGTGGTGGGCAGGATGTTACAGACAGTACATAATACATAATACAAATATTTTACAGTCTCACAAAAACAATGTTTCTGTAGGACATGTAATTTTGTTTCTGAATTGATTGCATTTTCTGTTTTTCACCTGGATGTGGAATTTCATCTCTTTGAGCCTGTGGTTGCTGTATATTGCAGAGCTGATGGGGGATTGTGAGTAGAGAGCACAACTGTGGTTTTTTTGGACCCTGGCACCTCTATCTCCCACTGTAATCTGTCTGGAGGCGTAGGGTTGCAGGAATTTTCTGAATAGGTACATGCAGTAATGGAAAAATTGGATGGCCAGCCAGTGGAAACCAAACAGAGCAATATGTTCGAGTACCCAACAGATGTGTCTGGTTGTAT